CACAAAACATACTGTTTCCCTTGGTTCCGGTAAATAAGTGTTAAATATAATACTTGATATACGTGGTCTATCAGACTTTCAATTTTGCTTCCAAATCATTGCCGAGAAAAGACAACTGAAAGTGTAACAATTTTATACAATATACACTGCAGAGCTACTTTTTTTTAGAGAAATCAATCTTGTACCCAAGGCCTGCATAACTTTTGGTCTGCAACAATTAAATAACTTGGACTCTGGAATACACAAATTCAAGAAGCCAGAACCAGGATATTTCACACATGCGCAGTAGAAACAGGATCTAACAGCTTTAATTTGACAGATTTTACTCAAGAAAATTGACTTAACAAACACCTTCGAACTCAGAAAAGGGATTTATCAGACCTTAAATGGTAAATCTATCTTCTTCAAGGCTATTTTGAGATCTATTACAATGACCAGATCATAGCAGACGATGACAGTTGGCGATTATCATGTCAACAGTTGTCTTTGCTCTTTTATTTTGTACTTTAAGTAATGGTCCGAGTAAGAAGCAGGCAAGCAAACGGCAATGGAATGCATGAAGGTGCTAATTTTGTATTGTATAATCTAGCCATCTCATTGGTTAAAACATTAAAATCTGGCATAATTTCAAAAGTAATCGCATTTGTTAATATTTTATTTAATATCTGATTCATCTAACTTCATAAAAGCTTTCCTTAGCTTTAATATTAATAGCAATTCTATGTGGGGAACATAGCAAATTAGAAGCATCTTTTGGCTATTGTTTTGAGTGCTTATGATTGGACAAGATCTTTTAATACAAAMGAAACTTTGTTTCAAAACAGAGTTTATCCACATTTTATTTTAAAAGTGTGTTRCCCATAGGTTGATACATAATCAGTGTGAAAACCAAGACATTYGTATGTGGGRAAGTTGCAATTGCCGCAGAACAATAGAAGGTTGCCTGCTTTTTGCGTGCATTGTTASTTAATTGATCATATATTACCATCAAATGCCCACTTCACAGACTTAAGAAATGCTTTTAGTATAGGTAATAGCATGTTTTGTAGTGGTATTTGGGATAAATACCACGTGTGATACCTCGCTTYGCTTGTGAAATTTTGTTTGACAGTTTTGAAATATCACTTGTGGTATTTATCCCAAATTCCACATACAAAACATGCTAGCATTTGTTTATAAAATGGTTGAATAAAATTGTGTAATTTGAAATACCACTATTAAGGATAAATACCACTCCTCTAAGCCAATCAAATTGCACAATTTCATTCAACCATATTATAAAAGAAAGAATTCAAGGTGAGGTAGCGAGATACACAATGCATGGTTYGTATGAGTTTATTTCTTGGTGTTTATTTTATGAACCTATCAGAAAGCGAGAAATTTCCGTGTATTCCAGAGCCAAYGTTTTCCGTCGAGCTTGCACAGAGAAAATTTGAGAATCCCGGCAGAGAATTCCAAAATGTTACTTAAATTCAACCTAACGATAGCATCAGCGGTAGCTTCTTTTCATGTTTAAAACAACKAAGTAAAAAGTTAATAATTTGGGTTTAGCAGTGAACAAAGTAAGTCTTTTCAACGAGTTTCTTTAATATATTCTTTCATTCAATGACCCAAACAGTCTGATGCTGCCGGCGAGCAGATTTAACTTATAACTTAAGTTAAGTTAAGTAGTATCCAGGAAGGTCCATTGCCACTCATGGTCTACCCGTTTGTATTTTAAGGTATTAGAACTCTGTGGCAAGTGATACTAAACAGTTCTCACATTCTGAGCTAGCATTAAAAGTCATATTTACGTAGATTCAGTAAACCCCTAAAATTGAAAATTAATATAATTTTTTACTTAAATCAACCGTCATACAGTATCTCGGCCATTAAGCTTAATCTTAATGRGTTTATGTTAGAATTTTTTAAACTGTGAAGAGCTAAGATTTAACAGCAAAAATACAAYATTTACCATGAAAGAAGTTAAACTTGACAAAGAATTCGTCGTGGCATTTCTTGGGAAGAATCAGCAGAACAAGAGGAGTAAAGAAGTACCCTTCAGCAGCCATCTTTTTTTTTCGGTGGATTATGCTACGTAGGCAGCCCACAGGCAGCCCACCATAATTCTCCCTTGGACGCTACGGAACCCTGTGTAATATCACGTGATCAAAACGTAAACAAACCCCGAATGTTCGGACATTCGCGCGACTTTTCGTACTGTACGTTCATGACTGTCTAGCAACTGAAAAAATACCTACAAGACAGAGGAGTTTCTGTAAGTGGCTATCTGAAAACGTCTCTAGTAGAGAGATTGCCTCGTCTGTTGAGAAAATGAACTTTCCCCTTGGCATACAACTAGGGAGGATGCATTGGAAAAACGAGAGGGGCCTGGTTACTGGCAACTAATTCATTGCTTTTGAAAAAGTTGAGCTTACATCAACTGGTATTATGATAAATGATACGAAGTGGCTATATGAGTAGTAGCTGCTCAAAGTCTTCAAGTAAGGAAATAAGGGTGTACTGACGTTTCTAGACGGCCTGGTTGCTATGCTAGCCGATGCTAGCCAATCGGAGAAGCGGGCGCGCGCGCGTTTTCATGGCGGGAAAATTTTTACTTCCGGTGTAAAGGTTGTTGTTTACATAAAATGTATGGTATCATTTAAAAAATATAATCTTCGGTGCGAAACATCAAATGGACGTGTTTTTTCAATATTTATGTTCTTCACAGCCTCCTCTTCAGAACCAAGCATGGGTTTGGCGAAAAATTAAAAAATACGAAAGTTATTGGCATTTTTCGCTTATTTGTGACATTTAAAAAATCGTAAAAAGCCAGGAGCCCATTACTAGGAGCCTTCCTCTTCCCATGGGCTTGTGGAACGGCATTTACCCCTCTTGGTGCTATTTTTAGATTTTCCCGCCATTCCCCGCGCGCTTATTGAGATGCCGAGTTGTGATCGAAGAGCCGCCGGCTATCAGATGTTTTTAGATTGAATTTTAAGTTGTACAAGTGAAGAAATTTTCGCTTTTCCAAAAACTATTTTGTAACAAAGCTTCAATGGCACCATTAACTATTATATTTAAATGTCTAAAGATAGTGAAAAGGTATAAAAAATAAGCGAAAAAGCTCATACATGAAAGAATCGACATTTCTGTTCTGATCAAAAAGCATGACAGTGAACACAAAATAATCTATTCTTATAATGAGTTCTTCATCTAAAAAATGTGACAGATCACAAATGTAAAAATTAGCCTTTAATAAATTTGTTTGTGACAGTTTTGTACAATATTTTGCATCTAAACAAAAACTCTTCACAAATGAAGTTACCACGGAATTTCGGCGCCTTTTTTCTTGAACAGCCGATAAACAGTCCTCTAAAATGTTGTTGTTTT